GGTGGGGCGTCTGGAGACTCGCTTCCTTTCTCCGGCACACACCTGTCCATGCCTGGCCAGGGGCAGCGGCTGCTTGTGGCTCAGTCTCCTCACACCGGAGGCCGCTGGAGTGGCGCTTCGGGAAGCCAGGCCTGGGAAAGTGGCCTTGACACCAGCGCTCACCACTGAGTGCCCACATAAGCAGTCAGCTGCACGATTTGAATGAATTATGTCATAAAGCTTATGATTTACAGAAATTAACGTAGTACTTACTAGGTGACAAGAGTCTAAAACACTTCTTAAAATTCCTAAAAGCCAGGGCTTAAGTCAAACTCTTGGCAGCAGAGTGAGTCTGAGCATCATTAAAATCGAAGCTAGGATGGAAATCAGACAAGAGAGATTTTCGAACTCCAGGTCAGGGCTGACTTCGGAAAGCGAGCACAACGAGGGAAGGAATTGGTGCCCTCTGTCCCCATTAGCTAAGGTAGTCTACGATGCAGCCCCTGCCCTCCTGGGGACATATCACCCACACCCTGCTCAAGCACCTGTCCCCAAACCATGACCTCTGCACCCCACACCCAGAGACCCCTTCAGTGCCAGTCCAGGCCGCTCCATTCTCAGTGATGGGCTCCACAAAAAAAAACATTTCCAAAAAACTTAGTAATTAAATGGCTCAAAAATTGCTTTAGGCCTTTAACAAATGGCCCAGGCAAATGTACTGTTTCATTCTATTTTTTTTTGTTTGTTTGTTTATACATGCACTGGGTACAGTCAGAAGCACGGGAGGGTGAGAGAATTCACCAGAGCCAGAGCGGGGAGCAGAGCAGGCAGAAGGACCGAAGCACACTGCTGAGGGGAGCAGCGGGCGGCAGGAGAGGTCTGCGCGCCATGTGGGACCCTCCTCTGGTGGCCGGGGAGCAGCCGGGGATCGAACCGGCGCTGCAGAGGCTGCGGGCAGCTTCGCAACCCAGCGCTCAACTGCTGCGCCACCGGGGAGGCCCTGTTTCATTCTATTTTTAAAAATCTGCTCCCCTTGGGGCCTCCCCTGGTGGCGCAGGTTGAGCGCTGCCGCGCTGTGAAGCTGTCTGCAGCCTCTGTAGCGCTGGTTTGATCCCGGCCGGCCGGCGAGGGTTCCACATGGCACAGCAGACCTCTCCTGTCGCGCCTGCTGCTCCCCTCAGCAGTGTATTTCATCAGTCTGCCTGTTCTGTTCCCCGCTCTGTCTCTGATGAATCCTCTCCTATGCATCTGGCCTGTACCCCGGTTCTTGTATAGATCTTTAAAAAAAAAAAAAATCTGTTCCCCTTGCATGCATTTGTGTATAGAAACCTCGTCTGGATGTGCAGCATCAGCTGTGACCAGGCTTACTGGCTGTCCTGACCACCTGTTCGGCCGATCCTAGCTGAGAAGAGGAAGTTGCTGGCTATGCCAGCCAGTGCCCATCAAGGGCTCTGATGTCACCCAGACCCTCCCTCTCCTGCTGGTGAGCTCTGCACCCCGAGAAAATGCCTCCAAGGAAAGCATGCAGAGTGGGCCCGCACAGAGAGCTGCCAGGCCGAGTAGGGGACTCTGGCGGCCCTCAGGGGCCCTGCCCTCTCCCTCCCGCTCCACTGCCCTCAGAGAGTCCTCCAAGTTGCAGCGTGTCTTCATGCCTTGCTCAGGCATTCATCAACTCCTTTACAATAATCACTATTTATCTCCTAGACGATACACAAAAAGTATGCTTTTGCCTATGATTGGGGTCACGGTCTAGAGGATAAGGTGGCTTCTAGAATAGTTACACCCATTCAAAGACCATCTGTCACAGAAACTCAATGCTGGGAGGACTAGAGGACTCCCAGAAGAGTCCTGGAGTAGTCAGGGAAGGCTTCCAGGAGGTGACAGCATCTAAACCCAGCCTTGAAGGCCAGGTAAGACCTTTTTAGTTGTGAAAGGAAACGGGAGTCAGACAAGGCTCCGTCTCCACTTCCCAAAGTGTGTGTTCATGTGACCGGGGCCAACTCCCTGGAACTGGTCCTGAAGGGCACTACAGCCAGAGGGCAGTGAGGCTTGCGTACCAGCCCAGCGCCATCCTGTCCACGCCAGGTGATAACGAGCAGGCTTGTTTACCTCTGGGAATTTTTTCCTGTGCGTGGTGAGGTGCAGGTGTTAAAAGCCACACGGCAGCTGTGGGGTGAGCACAGCGACGCTGCAGCCGCACTCGCACACCGGTCACCTCCCAGAGCGCCAGCTCCGCCTGGCCCAGCATGGGCCAGCCAGCCCCGCAGCCACCTCCACTCCAGTTAGTCGCCCACACATCATCTGCTCTCGCGACCCCAATTTTAAATATGGCCCTCCCTCCCCTAGCCCTCCATTTACCTGTTTTACTTTAATCCAGTTCTGCCTGCCTCCTCACAGAATGTCCACTCCATCAAGGAAGGGACTCCCTGGGCTCACTGTTAAACTCCAGCATCTAGGACAGTGCCTGGCACACAGTGGCTGAACTCGCATTAAGATGGGAAATGCAAACCATGCTCCACCTTGCAGGGCTTGCCAGACGAGATCAAGGGAAGCAGTGGCGGAGGCCTGGGGTCGGCGCCACTGGCTGAGATGGCGCCGGCCCTCGGTGGCCACTCCGCAGCTGCAGGGTCGTGGGTACACATGGGTGCTGGGGCCAGCGGGAGGATGTCTTCTGACTGTCTTTGTGGAGATAACAACACACCATGCTGTTCCGTCCCGATGAGATGTGCAAGCAGTAGGTGGGGAGTCTAAGCATTGACAGGAACCCGGGACAAGTTCCTGGCCCTGTCACCCCGCAGTCCCGGACGGGGAGTGTCCTCCTCTGCCTGGAAAGGGCCGGAGCACCAGCCCACATGAAGGAAGGCTGGAAAGGCTCTGAGGATGGAATGGCTGGTGCAGAGCTAGAGGTGAGACAGTGGCCTGGGCCACAGGCCTGGTTTCATTTGGCTAGGTCAGTGTGGAGTGAGGAGGGCTGGGAGGCTGAGCTGAAGGACCGTGCGTGCTCACCCCTGACAGACATGCCTATTTAAAGCACATAAAGGTGGCAGCAATCAAGGATGGGAAAGAGGTGGCATGAGGCGTGACTCTCTAGCTACTGGTAACAAGGAAGAAATAACGGAGATGCCTTGTAGGAGAACAGGCTAGGGGAGGCGAGACCCAGAGGCTTGACCACAACTTGCTAAAAACCTGAGGCTTGGGGACTCCCTGGGGGCGCAGGGGTTAAGTCTCAGCACCATCAAGCTATCGGTAGCCACTGCAGCACAAGTTCGATCCCCGGCCAGGGAGATGACCCACATGGCACAGCAGACCTCTCCTGTCTCCCCGCTGCTCCCCTCAGCAGTGGTTTTTAGTGGATCTGCATGTTTTGCTCCCCACCCTGTCTCTGGTGAATCCTCTCACCCCTGCACCTCGGGCCTGCACCCCAGCTCTTATATGCATAAATAAATAAAAATGAATCTTTAAAAAAAAAATAAAAATTTCAAGCATAAATAAATAAATAAATAAATAAAAACCTGCAGGTCCGAGGATGCTGACTGAGAGGGACGAGGAAAATAGCAGAAGGCAGAAGAGTGGAACTCCTGTCAGGAACGGTGGATTCATGGTTGGCTGCAGAGCCCCACAGCACCAGCGCCTCTCTGGGGCCTCGCTTGCACAGCTGCTCCAGCCCCCAAAGAGACAGCAGCCACTAAGGAATCACTCCCGGCTAGCTCGCCTGTGCCATCCTTCGTCCAGCCAACACCCCCTTTTCTGCAGACTGCCGAGCACATCCTGGCCATGCTCGCCGGGTGGCCCTCTCTCCAGGCACATGACCAAATCTCTGTGGCTGGTTGGCATCTGCCAGACCTCCCATTCCAGAGGACTGAGCAAGGGAGTGGACAGCAAGTGCCAATGCTGGCTCTGCCCGTGCTAGGTCACTGCAGGGTCAGGAGTCCATCGGGGAAGTCGGCCAGTAAGCAGGAGGGCTGCTTATTTGAGACTATCTGGCAGGCGCAGCCGGCCCACATCTGACCTGTCCCACTGGACAGGCCCGTGCCCCAGCATCCCCTGAGCCAGGAACGGAGCCACATGAGCTGCCGCCCACATTCAGCACCCATGCGTCCCGGTCAGGGGCAGCTACAGACTGCTCTCGAGCGGGCTTGCAGGATGCTGGTGCACCATGAAGTCAAATGTGGACATCGGACACTGAATTCTAGTTATCAGTGAGGCAAGAGCACAAGACTAAATCTCAGGGAAAATCAATTCAAGGTAAATTAAGCTAAGAGGGCTTCGGTTTCCTCTACGTCAGAATGCCAGTCATACAAGCTATTAGGAAGCTACTGTTTTAGAAATGTAATTTATACGTCTCGAACAGCTCACAAGTGTGTCCGCAGGTGATGCGCACGCACGTGCATCTCTGTGTGTCTCAAACTTCGGTTCACAGAAAGTGCTTTCCCCTCCTCCCCTTCCCTCCACTCCCCACACTGTGCCGCAAGGGCATGAGGCACATGCATGCTGAACACAGCACGGAAGGCACAGCACGCTCCTCACGCCAGCCAACGGCGAAGATGGTGCCCAAGGCAGCATCTTAACTGCACTTTCAAGAAACAACACTCAAATGCCGTTTTACAGTAACTATAAAAGACAAAAACCATTTAAAAATGTTTTACATTCCTAACTTCAACAAACAAACAATACACAAAGTATATTCTGTTAACTTGTGCTGAATTGGAAAGACAAATGATTACTGGCAACTTTAAAAGTATAAGTTTTCACCTGACAATCGCTGCCACACGAAACTGAGGGATGACCCGGAGTCCCCGGCGCACGTGGGGTGACCCAGTGTCAGTGGGTACAGCTCATCTAGAAATCCATGAATCCCTTAAACCTACTGAATGATGGTGTGAAATCATGCAAGTTTGGGTAGTCTGAATCTTTGCTTCTGAAGGGCTATTCCAGAAAGAAGAGCAGCGACAGGAGCAGAGGCAGCAGAGGCCAGTGCACAGGACCCGGGCCTCGGGCGCCGCAGCCGCGGGGGCCCTTACCTGACACGGAGACGGCATGGGTCCGCACGCCCTGCTTCTCGCTGCTGGCCAGCCTGGAACACAGAGGACAAAACTGTGAGTGTCACCCCTCAGGGCCAAACAGCCGCCCTGCGCTCAAACCGGGAACCACCGAAAGCTTGGAAACTTCCACTGGAGACGATGCACTTTAAAACGGGGTGCCACTATCTGAGGCACTTACAATAAGCAGGCTGCTCTAATATTCTGAGGGTCAAGATGGACGTTAGAGCAAGATGGACACCTGAAGGGAAGCAGCTTGGGAGGTCAGGGCCTCGTGGAGTGCTGGTCAGGAGCCCTGACTTCAGGGGCCAGACTGCAGGGACTGCCCAGAGTCACCAAAGAGGGGGCAACAGCTAGAATTGACATTTCTAAGCCAGAACCTGAAGTGCTGTAACATGACTGGTCGCTTGTGGCTGCAGAGAGTATAAGAGCAGAACACCACACGTGCAGTTACCATCTGCAGCGAGGGAGGCAGGCTCCGTGCGCTGCTGCTGGGCCTCTGCCATGTCTCGGCAGACCCAGGGTCCCACACATTTACCCATGTAAAGTAAAATCTGGCCAAAAGACTTTGTGACTTAAAAAAAATAAAGTTCAGTTTAAAATTTCTGGAAAGCATGAAACAGGAAAAAGAAGCCCCTTAGTATTCAAATGCCAAAATGACTTTGGTCTTTTATGAAAGAAAACTTCCCAAACGCATAAGCATTTACTATTGAAATAGTGGCCAGAAATTAATTTTTTTAAAGATTTTTTTATTTTTATACAAGAGCTGGGGCACAGGCCAGAGGCATGGGAGGGTGAGAGAATTCACCAAAGACAGAGTGGGGAGCAGAAGGACTGAAGACACTGCTGAGGGGAGCAGTGGACTAGACAGGAGAGGTCTGCGGCACCAAATTTTACCACCCTGGAGTTTACACTAGGAAATAATACAGCTTACAACAGCATCTTTTTTGAGAACTAGAAACATTTAACATGAAACCATATAACCTCTGTGATTAGTGACACAATTACAGCTAAGGCCCTAGGCTGAGCTCTTCTCACTGAACTCGGCAACTACAGCAACTACACGCAATGTGGTATCTTCACTACGAAGGTCTGACTGCACCTGCTATCTGTCAAGCGGTCAGCTCCTCTCCCTGGCAGCTGGGGCTCACCCCTCAGGCCCAGGGCATGTTTCTAATGGGCGGTCACGTCCTCTGCTCTGAGTCCTGCTGCCCGTGCTGAGGTGCTCCCTCCGCAGTCTCGTGTCTGTGAGTGGCCTGAGTCACCCTCCTCCCAGCTGCGGTTCCACCTCTTTCCTGAGCAAGGATGGGGAAGCACCTGCAGCCTGTGACTCGTGGGTTCAGCTGCTCCGCTTGGCTCTCGTCACTCAGTTCTTCCGGCATTTGCCACTTCTGACCTGGTGACTTCACCCCTCACTCTCCCATCCGTGTTTTGCTGCTCACGGCCATCTCCAGAGCCTCCATGAAGGCAGACCCTGAGCTGGCCAGGCTCCAGCGGGCCCGCGGGACGCTCCCGTAGCTGCCGCATGCCGGGTCTGTGCACATGGCTCTGGCAACATTCCCCTCACACGCGCAGCTGTGGGCACTGACCATGTGCCAGAAGCCACCCAGGGCCAGGTTTACAAACACATGTGGTCTGACCATCCCAGAGGCCACAGGGGTAGTCACGGAGAGTGTGAGTACTGGGACGAAGCAGGAGGGAGGGGAAAATGCTTTCCAGGACAGGGACTAGGGGGATTGCCAGGACCTGAGAGGTGACAGGGCCCACCAAGGACAAGGGGCTGGAGGAAGGGTTTACAAAGGCCCAGCGGGGAATGAAAGGACTGTGCATTCCAGTAACTGAGGGGAGTTCAGGCAGCTAGAGCAGCGGGGAGCGTCTGGTGCTTGGGCGTGAGCTTGCAGGTGTGGGGTTTCCCCTCAGAGCCAGCTCGCGGTGGGGGGCTCTCCTGCTCCTCTCTCCCTCTGTGTCCTGCAGGGCCCGGCACAGTGGGCAAGTGGCTGGGAAGGTCAGGTAGGAGGGGTGCATGTCTGAGAGGCTGTTCCTCCAGGCTGTCCCTGAGCGTGTGTTGGGGCACCTGCAGGCGCCCCAGGGGCGGGCTTCCGTCAACCCTAAAGGGTAAGGGTAGCTGCACTGTGCCTGAAGTGTTTGGAAAAACAACCCGGTTCAGGCTGGTTTCCTGCTTTCCTTCTAAAGCCTAGAATGAGACCAGACCCCCCAAAACCCAGGAAGGGTTCTCTGATGCACTTCCTTGAGGGCACCACTCACCACCACAGGAACCGGGTGCACCCCCCCGCCCCCCGCCCTGGACTGGCCTGGTTTCCTCGGTACGCTGCCCCTTTGCTGGCCCTGAGCCTGCTGTGTAGCCCGTGGCTGTGATTCATCACAGCCGCAGCCACAGCTGATCAACCCGAGAATCGCTGAGCCTGCAGGGATCTTGGGGGCCTCAGCACAGAAGTTCACTGAAGCGCCCACATAGGCACGACCACAGCCAGAGCAGAGGGGAGGAGGGAAGGTGGTGCTGCAGGTAGCCAGGACGGGACACATGCAGGAGCCGCGCTGAAGAAGCCGCCGGGGCGGCCCTCTTCACCCGGTGGCCGTGCAGGGACAGGGGTTCTGTGCTTCTCTGGGGCGGAGGGCTCCCCTGTTGACTAACACAGCAGCTGAAGTCTAAGGGTTACATTCACTGTGTCCCCAGCTCGCAGCACTGGCTGAAAACAAGGACCACATCAGTGTCTGGGCCTCTCCGCTCAATTCCTTTAGCGTCGTCGCTCACTGACCTGCCACAGCACTTGGGCCGAGGAAACCATGAAGCTAAATCCCTTCTCCCAGTGCAACTGCCAGGATGGGCGCAGTTCTCAGGCTCTTGCCACGGCTCGTGAGGCCTGCACAGGGGTGTCTGAGGATCGGGCCTGCATACCCTCTCCCCTGGGGACCCAAAGGAGGAGCTGCCCTTGCAACTTCTGGATTAATCCTGAAGACTTAACAGGATTTATAATGATTTGCTTTCTTCCTGGACATGCTTGTTTTCTATGTCCCTAGCCCTAGGTGCGCAAGTCTCAACACTGTCAAGTGGACAACAAAGCAGATTTCCTCACAGCTGAGCTGAGCGACAGGATGTACAAAGCAATACTTACTTTGGTATTGATGGCAAAGCCCGTTCACCTTCTGGGGAAAGAAAAAGGAAAGAAACATCAGTTCCTTGGATTCCTTCTGCAAAGATTACACAGGTATCAGAGGAGAGGAAGTCTAGTCTGGTACTTTAGCGATACCCCCTTTAAGTTATTATAACACAGTCCTAGGTTTTCGGTTTTACTTTGGCCCACTTAGCAAACACAAACCGCCGTGAGCACACGCTGGACGGGAGAGCCCTGAGAGCCCTAAGAGAGGGAGGGTCTCTCGTGGCAAGGACCCTGGCCCGCATCTCTATCTCCGTGCACCCCCGCCCCGGACATCGGCATGTCCTTCCTCCCGTGAGGGCCCGTCTTGAGAATGAGTTGTCTGGTTCAAAGAGCTGAGAGAGCGTGAGGAGGCTTGGAGGGCCAGGACAGAGGCCAACGCTCTTCTGCGCCACAGCTTTAAAGTGCCCCTTTCTGGAAAGAAGCTTTGACATTCACTATGGATGCGGAGACCTCACTGTCCCCAGGCCTGGTCTCTGTGGCATCTTAGAAGCCGCAGTGTGTAGTGTGGTCACTGCCCCAACCCCCCACCCGAGATCTACTTGAGAACCACAAAACTAATCCTGCACGAATCTGCTCAGCTCTTTTCTCTGAGGAGAATTTCACTAAAATTGAAACACTGACATTAAACTCTCCAGTGAGAGACAGGTTACACAGTGTCCTTCAATCAGAGCCAAGGTCACGCAGCAATGCAGAAACTCATTTAGGACACTTGGCTTGTGGCTCCTACTCTGTATTCTACCCCAACAAATTCCACCTTCAAAGGCACCCTGTCAGCAACATGCACCACGGTCAGCAGAGCACACAACACCAGTCGCCTCCAGTGCACACGCAGAGCCCAGTCCTCACTGGCCACCGCTGGGCACCAAGCATACTCAGGACATGCTCACCCCGGGGCAGCCGTGACCCGAGGTGACAGTGGGAACACACACAGGATCAGTTAAAGCACCTGCCAGGCGAGCTGTCCACTGGCTATAGAAACACGCTTTTCATTTATTTGAAAGATATTTAAAGATATAAAATTAAAAATGCACATGTGCTCTTGTCCACGTATTTTTCTGACTACAATCCACTGAAAGTGATTTGGAGATATTATTTTAGTGAGGCAACGCAGCCCCGCACCTGGGGTTCTCCATGACAGCGTCACGGAGTAAGTATGTTGTGCTTTAGAATGAGGCCAGTGAGGCAACCGAGCTCAGTGATTCCATATTTGAAGACAAAATATCATACCATGTATCATACAATGTCCTCCACTGGGTTCTGATAACAAATATTTTCATTATGCTATTTTCATATGAATGAAGAACTTAATGCACCTCATTTTTTAAGGCTTAGTATCAAAATGTTTCTCCTGTGAGGAGCAGAAACACTCCACTAAGAGCTGACAGGAGAAGGCTCCGAGGATTTAAACTTGGAATGGCTCACTCAACGTTGAATATCTGAATTTTTTTTAATATGTACCAACAAACCGATAAAAAAAAAAATGCTCAGGTAAATTAGGATGAAATCAAAGAACTGACAGGCAATGTCACATTTAACACTTTCCACAAAACACTATGGTATTATAGCGTCACGTAACAAGGGGATTCTCCTCGTCGAAATAACGATTGTAAGGTACATTAAAGCATTAAATGAAAAAATAAGAGTTTAAAGCTAAGTTTTAACTGACCAGCCTTCAGACATTTATAAAAGCAACCTCATTACTACATTTCTCAGGAAGAAAGCTACAGAAACAAACACGCACTCTGCACTTTAGAAAGACACATGAGCGGGCATTAGGGTCTGGTCACCGGGCAAAAACACCCTGGCCCCAGCAGCTGTGTCCAGAGAGCGACACTCAGTCACCAGCCTCTTGGCTTATTTAGCTGTTTTCAGAGCTCAGATCACGATGCTGACTTTGAACAAAGGTTCCAATGATTCCTCTGCTTAACATTCCATCCCGCGCCGCACTACCTACCCATCGCCTTGCTCAAACTGTCCATGCAGAGCAAGGAGCCAGGGCGGCCCCTGCCGTGCAGAACGGGTGCAGGGCTACCTCGGCACCGTCCTGGGTGCCCCTCACTGGGACACACGCCGGCGGCCCTTCGGCTCCTTCAACTGTGACCAGTCCTGTCACAGAGGTGAAGGCGCCTGCCCGGAGCTAGCGGTGCCCCACGCTCCTGTGGCCCCAAGGGCATACCACCGAGCTGGCCTCATGCTCCTCTGACAGAGGAGGAATCTACAAGTCAAAGGTCATACCCCAGCAGCAGCGGCAAGTAACACCAGCAACGCTAGGCTTGTGGTGCTCTTTGCCGGGCACACTTTCAGGCCTCCTGTACTGCAGCCACTTACCTCTGCCTCCCATAGAAACCCACATGGTCCCGTGTCCCCTTCGACTGCCACGCCGATCCCACAGGAACTCTGAAGGGGCATAGCCCTGTCTCCAGGAGGCTGACTCATCTTTGGATTTTACATCATCACTCAGAACTAATTCCGTTCTTTGACTCTGCTAAGCTTTACAGATTTGCAAGAAAATGAGAGACTCTTGAATGTGAGTTGCACAGGACATAAAAAAAATTAAAAGCAAACCCAGGACATAATCCCAAAGTTTGCTTAAAAATAGCAATGGTAACCTAGAAAATACTCAGAAGTGAGTTGCTCACAACACAACAGCCTAAACACAGCCTGTTTTCTGAAAGCTCTGCTCAAACCCGGCGCTCAGGCTGTGGGCTGGGGTGCCGTGCCGGGCAAGCAAGGCTCTGGAGTCCCTGGCTGAGTCAGCCTCTGACTTTCACACTGGGCAGCTTTCTGAGAAGGAAGCAGGCTGCTGGGGGTGAGCTCAGCCCACAGGTCAGCGGGGTGCCTGACACAGCAGCAGCTCACCTTTCTGGGGCCTGATGATGAAGGACTGTGTGGCTCCATTCACCAGCCGGCAGTACCCGTCGATCAGATCGGCCATGTTCTCCGCGATGGTCAGCGACGGTGCCGTCACGGTCAGCGGCTAGAGGGGAAAGTCCAAGAGAGCCAGCATTGTTCACCCAGCAATCAAAGGGACAGCTGCACTATGACATCAGAGCTCCAGAAACACTCAAAAACAGAGAAGAGAGGGAGTGAAACAAGATTTGCTGTGAGGTCTGAGTGAAGAGGAAGTCTGATATCTAAGGATGTTAACCCTAGACTACGTGACAGAAGGCAAACCCAGATGAAAATAAAGTTGCTTAAACGAAGACTCACTTTCTAGAACAAAAGGAGGCAAAAAATATTTCCCCTCAGAATGTCTGGCCCCTCTGGCACATCCTAATTAAGGGAAGAATTTAGACAGTCAGTGGAGGATGGCTTTATTTTAGAAAGTAGGCTAACAGAGCCAATCTTTACCAACTATCCATTATAATTTTTCTAACACTAAGCAAAATTAGTAAAGTTTCTTTATTTTTAGTGCGCATAGCACGTTCTGCCTCAAAGCTCAGAAATCACTCTTCAGCTGAAAACACAATGCCTGATAAACTTGTGAGAGGCCCGGCGAGCGAGAGGCAAGGGCTGAACGCGGACCAGCTGCGCCTGCAGCCCAGGCTGGCTCTCCTCCGGACACGCCCTGCTTGCACTGTTGTTTCGGGGGGCATGGAGGAAAGGGAAGCCGTCTGAAGGCAGTGGTGGCGAACGAGACACTCCTTAACATGCCTGCAGGCGATTTCAATTTGCAGCAGGGCTGTCTCCACGCAGCTGCCCACGGGGCCATGAGAACCAAAAGGATTCACAGCGGCCCCAGCAGACCCAATGGGGAGGGCGCCGCGACCACCAACCAGTGAAGGGGCTGCCTTGGTAGAGCTCTGGGTGTGCAGCAGGATCTGGGTGCCAAAAGTGTGTCCCACGCGAGCGTGGCCAAGGGTGCGGCAGCCGCCCGGACGCTGGCACAGGAAGCGGGCTCGTCCCTTGTTCAGACAACATGGCACCAGACAGGGCTCTGGCCAAGCAGCCGTGTCCTATGCCCCGCCCGTCTCTACATGCTGCATGTGTAGACTCAGCACAGATGTGTACCCGTCACCACTCTTACAGATTGTGGCCACCCCCTCGCGCCTCCGCTTCCTCATCTACAGAAGGGAATGGTCAGAGTACCCCAAGAACCTCCTCTCTGGGTTCTGAGGGTGGCCGTCCCGCTCTTGCTTCTGTGCGAAGCCTGAGAACAGCGACCACAGCAGTTGTGACTCCTGCTACCCAGAAAAGGCCACGGGCGCCATCCAGAACACCCGATCACAGAGCGTGCTCTAAGGAGGAGCTGTGCTTGGAAATCCACCATCCCGTCAGTCGCCCTCACGGTGGCACTCTGGGTCGACTTTTAAATCTGTCTCCTATTCCTGGGCATGCTGAATCATTATCACTTTTAACGAACGCTTAACGACAAAAGGTAAGTCGTGATCTGAGGTGCACAAAGACCTCATCCTACCCTAGACCATCACCACTCCCCACCCCCACCCGGTGGCCTCTTCCTCCCGCCGGCTCCTCACCTCAGGGGCGCCCGCGATCTTCAGCTGCAGCATTCCTTTTCTGTCCTTGTCTTCGCTGTTGGAATACTGAATGGTCTGCACCTGATTGAAGTCGGCCAGATGTGTGGGCTTGGGAAGAAAAGGCAAAAACCGTGGACCATGGATAAAAGACTCACCTCACTTCTTTACCATCCTATAAAATTCCCACAGCGCCACTCAGCCCCATGCTCACAAAGATACCCTCTGGGACTGGGCTCTGGGGGAAAGCAGACTGCTCAGAGTGCCCATGGGGTTTCCTCAGCATGAGGAGCAGATGGAACTGCCGGTGACCGTCTGCTGCACCTGAGGGTGCTGCAGTAGCTGAGCGGGAGCTGGACCATGAATGACAGGTCAGAGAGAAAGGAGTAGAGGGAGATCTGACTCGCTCACGCACCTGGGGAGCTGTGGGTGATTCTTGTTTGTACAGCATAGGAAGGGGGATATGGTACGTTTTTCTACACAGACAGACATGACCCAGGAGACTAGAAGTGTGAAGATGGCTGGAGCTGCACAGTGGGGGCAAGGACCAGGGTGGGGGGCAGACCAGGTTCCGGAACCGATGCTGTCTGCTCACCTGGTCAGTGACGGGGACAGGGATGGGACAGTGGGGATAGCCAGCATTTCCTGGGTGCTTCCTCTGCACGAGCCATGACCTAAGCACTTCACGTCCCTTGGCCTCTTTAAGTCTCTCACCTACCCTATCAGGTAGCTGCGGCTGTTACTGTCATTTCCTGTTAGGAAACGCAGGTCGAGGGAGGAGGAAGACCTCGTCACAACAACAGCTGGCGAGAGCAGCTGGCCCTTGGGTTCAGTCTGGAGCCTGGCCACTAAGCAGGCTGGGACCCCGCTTTCATCTCCTGAGGAGCCCAGGGGACACGCATCTTTAGCCATGTGCCAAATGCCAGGTGGGTTAAAGACTTGACTGTAAAAGGACAAATGAAATCTAGCAAGAAAATATATGAGATGACAGACCTAATCGGAAAGCTTTGACTATAAAAGCCCAGAAGAATGAAAGGGTGGTGTCAGAGTGCTCTGAAGAGGCCACGCAAGTTCTCACTCTCAGCAGCGTGCGTGCCCCGATGTACATTCCCGCCGACGTAAGCATCTGTCTTGCTGGCCCCTCCCACAGGCGTGAGCAGGGGCACATTGCATTTATCTATGGCCAGAGGCCAAACATGCTTTCCAACTGACCGTCCGGAGGTCCGCTCTGGGCACCTTCATCACCTGTCAGTCCTCATTCTACCATCTTTTGATAAAAGGAAGTTCTTGATTTCAATGGTCTAATTGATCCAACTTTTCTTTCAGAGTCAACCCACTTTACATCCTGTTTAAGTTATAGCAACATTTTCCTAAGTTTTCTTCTAAAATTTTTATGATTTCACCTCTCACGTGTAGGTAAATGCTCCATCTGGAGTGGACGTTTGTCTTGGCGTGTGACAGAGTAAAATTCACTCGAGTTCCCTCCCTGAATACCCAGCAAACCTAGCAGCATTTACTAAAAAGTTGCTCAGTGATGCCAGCTATCAGGGTGCTGGTCACCCTTGAGGCAATGGAATAGCGAGTGCGAGGGGGCGTGGGGTAACCCTAGGGGCTATGAGACAGGTTTACTCAAAACCAATGAGGAGTGTGAAAAGAAATGACAAGGATGAGTGAAAACACAGTAGGCTCACTGACGTGTGAAGAGAATCACGAACCTGTGAGACAGTCACGTCGGGTGTATGAGGAAATCCTCTTAATTTCACTTTAAACCGGGAATAACTCTTTAAAAAAAGCTTTTAAAACAATATATGCATAGGGCCTCCCTGGTGGCGCAGCGGTTGCCCGCAGCCTCTGCAGCACCGGTTCAATCCCTGGCTGCCGGAGAGAGTCCCACATGGCACACAGACCTCTCCTGCCGCCCGCTGCTCCCCTCAGCAGTGTATGTCGTCAGTCTGCCTATTCTGCTCCCCGCTCTGGCTCTGGTAAATTCTCTCACCCTCCCGCGCTTCTGACTAGATCCAGTGCTTGTATAAATAAAATCAAATCTTGGGCCTCCCTGGTGGCGCAGCGGTTGAGCGCTGGGTGGCGAAGCTGCCCGCAGCCTCTGCAGCGCCGGTTTGATCCCCGGCTGCTCCCCGGCCACCAGAGGAGGGTCCCACATGGCGCGCAGACCTCTCCTGCCGCCCGCTGCTCCCCTCAGCAGTGTCCTTCGGTCCTTCTGGCTGCTCTGCTGCTCCCCGCTCTGGCTCTGGTGAATTCTCTCACCCTCCTGTGTTCTGACTGTACCCAGTGCTTGTATAAATAATAAATAAATAAATCTTAAAAAAAACCCAAAAAAACAAAAATAAAATAAAATCTTAAAAAAAAACCTCCAACAATATATGCATATATGTGGGACTTTGCAAATGCTAAAAATATTCTCCCTCATACATAGGAACATACACTTGTGTGCACACTCCTAGCCAGCATGTCTGTAACCACGGGAGTCTCTCAGCTGTTCGGGAGACCTAGACACCCAGGAACAAAGGGCAGGCCAGCAGTGGAAAAGGCAAAGGAGAGTCCATGCAAATGACCCGCCCTGTCAGATGACAGATGTCCTTACTGCACCCCCACCCCCAAGACAACTGTGTTAGTAAAACAGGCCGCGCAGCAAAGGACACCAGAGAACAGCCAGCTGAAGGAAGCCAGAGCCACAGTGGCCAGAACATGAGAAGATGTTACTACATGTTTGCTTTGCATCAAATTGACCAATAAGAAAATGTCATTTTACATCAGCTAAGTGGAAAAACTGAAAGCTTTTGAAGCGTTAGCCAGTGAGAAGGTGGGAGGCAGCACCACACATGGCCGTGGGAAGCGGCCTTGTCAGTCTCCTGATGAGAATATGGCAGCTACTTTTAAAATTAAAGTAATCTGGAAACCCCACAGCTACCCCAGCGGCCTCTGCCTCGAGAAGGGTGGCAGGGCATGGAAATAAGCCCACGCCAGTATTTCATGCGTTGCTGTCTGTCTGTATTTTCATGCACTGCTGTCTGTCTCCCCCTTGGGCAGCAAAGACCAAGGGCACCTTTTCCCGAAGAATGCCCCGTCCCTGCCCTGGGCTCCTGCGTGTCTGGGGCGCCCCTTTGCCTTACCCAGGAGACTTACATTGCAGCCCTTATCCGTGAGGTAGCTGATGCCTTCTTCTGGGCCAATGGCGAGCTCCACTGAGATGATCCAGCTTGACTTTGAAGGTGAACAGGTGAGGCCAGGGGTGTGGGAAGGAGGAGGAGGAGATGTTTTAGATACAGATGCATGGGCATTGTGAAGCGGGCTGAGCCGGCTGGCCATTCCTCTGTCTAGCCGGGTAACAGAATACTTGTGCTGAGCGCTCCTCCCCAGGTCAGGGCTGAGTGGCTTCTGTGGAAGGCTGCTGACAAGCAGCAGCCCTAACAGCGTTCATGAACGAACTGCTGGACTGGAATTTACAAATCTAATGACAAACCGAGGCGTGCTTTTTAAAAAGCCAACCCCATTGTCACATCGATACATTTCCTTCTTGCATAAAACAATTATGCTCGAGTAGTAAAAATGTGGTAAATGAGATGTGGATCAGGTTTAGACACACATGGGTATGAAAAGCCAACACCACACCCCTGGCCCCACTTACGCCCAGCGCACACTTGAAGCACTCCTTATCGAATCTGTACACCGGGGAGAGGATCTCGAAGAACTTCAGAATACTTTCTTCTCTGTTAAGGTTGGCAAACTGTCTAAAAGTTTGTTGGATCAGTTTTCTTAGTGTTTTGGCCTGCATGGTAAAATTAAAAGAATCTTTTAAAGTCAATGATGAGTAAAGACCCCAACAGCTACCCTCAGAGAGAGTCCCTCTCCACCCAGCACTCAATCCCATCCCGCGCACACCTGCGAGGCGCTTCGCGTGGCTGAGCCTGACTTCCCTCTGAGGCATTAACAAAACACACACCACATGAAACCCACACCTTAGCCATGCTTAAGTGTACAGTCCAGCAGTACTGAGCTTTATTTCTTAAACAGAAATTTGTAAAGCGGTAACCTGCTTATCAGCACGCATGGTACAAGAATGGCTGCAAAAAGTGGCGCTGCCCTAGCACATGCCATCTGTCACCAGGGCAAAGTGCAAAGGCCCCCACCCCACGTCACCAGGGCAAGACCACCTTCTGCTGGGCAATTTGGCAACACACATTAGAAACCTTAAAAAAAAATAACAAACTGTAACTCTTTAGCCAGAAATTGCTCTTTGAAAATGATCACAGAATAGGGCCTCCCGGGTGGCGCAGCGGTTGCGAAGCTGCCTGCAGCCTCTGCAGCGCCGGTTCGATTCCCCGGCTGCTCCCGGCCACCAGAGGAGGGTCCCACATGGCGCGCAGACCTCTCCTGCCGCCCGCTGCTCCCCTCAGCAGTGTACTTCGTCATTCTGCCTGTTCTGCTCCCCGCTCTGGCTCTGGTGAATTCTCTCACCCTCCCCCGCTTCTGACTGTACCCAGTGCATGTATAAATAAATAAATAAATCTTTAAAAAAAAAGAAAAAAGAAAAGAAAATGATCACAGAACAATGCAGATTTTGCAGCAAGGAGATTCACCATGGCACCACGGACAGCCACACAGGCGTGCCCCACGCGGCCAGAGGCATCATGCGTGGACTGACTCTGCTAACAACGGCCCACAGGGCCGTGGGGAAGGAGGCGAGAAGACAGTCCGTGACTGGAGCGATCCTGTATGGGATGCCCGAGCAGAGGTGGCACCGAGTCACAGTGAAGGAGGCACCGACCAGGCCATTGCTTCCTGCACTCAGGGCTCCCAGCGCCCTCTAGTCATTCTCTTGAGAGTTTGCTATTTGAGCATCATGGGCATCTAGAGCGGAAGGGGGAACCTTCCCAGCAGCAATTTCAGTCCCTGGTGCCAAGGGGGCCAGTGGGCAAAGGATGTGCGATGAGGTCCAAGGAAGGGGCCAGAGGAGCCGGTGATGCAGGGACTGCCCCGCCCCCCTCCTACACCACCCCCCCCCCACTGGCAAGAGGCAGAGTCCCTGGGTGGCCCTGAGCGGGGTATCAGGTCCAACTTCAGTTTCACCTGGGAGGCTCTGGCAGCAGGCTCTGGACAGGGTAAAGGCACCACGGGACACCCAGGAGGGTTAAGAAATGACTCAGACAAGAGATGAGTTTGCACAGTGAAGGGGAAAGGGTGAGAACAGCAGATTCTAAATTTATCATGAGAACAGAACCAACAGGATGAACAGAGAGGCAAGGGTCACTATTAAACTGAGAAGGCAACAAACACAGGGACAGGTGGTGGGTGGAGGCTGGGGGAGCACCAGGAGCCTGTTTGGGATGTGAGGGGAGGTACTGAGCAGAAGAAACCCAAGCAGAACCTCCTAGCCTGCCCTGAGCGCCCAGCTTAGCACCTAGCCAGGAACCTCCCCAGGGGCCGAGGGGAGGGCGGTGCAGCCGGCAAGCACTTCCTGCGCTGCCTCCTGCTGGTCTTGAGCAGGTGGGGGAGGTGGGAGTGGCTTACCCTGGGGGAGGACCCAAAAGCTGCCCACAATGGCTTGAAGGTGGCAGCAGGGTCGTGGGACACTAAGGGTATGAGGGGGCAGCTGAGAGCTGGGGCAGCCAATGAGACAGAGTCAGAGGCTGTAGCTCAGGGGGTGAGGCGGCAGGTAGAGGGGCTGAGGGCAGTTCAGAGCGCCTCAAGCAGGCGTCCATGCTGCAGCTCCCTTGGGACACCTGGCCCTGCATCACAATGGGTGTGGGGGGCCGCAAGGGCACAGGAGGAAGAGTGGCCAGGGCCAGGCTCCCAAGGACACATGGAGGGTTGGTGATCTGTGGGATGGGGCACCCTGGAAACCTCCGGAGGGTTTTGCAGGGCTGTGGAAGAGCTGCTGGCTGGCTCACTTTTTGAATACACCAGGAAACCTGAACGAAAGCAAAGCAGTGAAGAGCCGGCAAGGCGAGAAGGCGCACTCCCCCTCACTCTGCAGGGCGTGTGTCTCTTCGTAACCCACACCTGTGCACCTACCTCCTGGCAGAGCACCAGGCTGCTATGGGGAAGGGCCATCTTGGGTCATGCCCGCTGAGGCTGAGAAGGTGGGCTCGGAATCATGCCCCACACCTCCGGCCACGCGGGCAGCGCAGGCAGCCCAGCGAGCTGAACATCTTCACAAAGGGTGCACCAGCCCAGGCCCCCATGGGCCAGGGACTATGTGTGGAGAACGGCCACCAGCAAAACAGTCAGTATGCCCTCCTGGGGGCCTGCCTCGGGACAGCGCCATGAGAGCCGCGGACGCCGGTATCTGTGCTCCGTGGTGAGGAGGATGCACCCTCCTCGTCACACCAGAGCCCGGCGAGTTCCTTCCATGGTCACCGTTCACAACTCCACACCTGTTGACCACTCTATCGTCAGATGAACCCCATGTCAGAAAGAGACCGCAGCCTCACTTTAAGAGGTAGGAGGCCAAATGCAGACGCCCTTAGGGATGTGGTCGTTCGAACAGATGATGCCAGATCATTCCTGAGGCAGCAGGCTTCCCAGGTGGTCTCCTGAGCCAGCGTGCGCTGCCTCTAGTGACTTGTCTTCTCCCAGGGGCTGGGATGTCCTCCCATGCAGGGTGCCCACCCTACGTGACCCGCAAGCGTTCACGTGCTGCATGGTGGCAGACACTGTGGTAACACGTACGGTCATCCGCTCAGTTTATTATTTTATTCATCGTGGAAATAAGACACCAGGCCCAAGACTGTGAGGCTGGTGGGGACAGAGCTCGCTGCTTGTCAGGCCTGGACTCCGGACGCGAAGTCTGTGTCTTCCTTCTGCATGGAATGTCAGGGTCCTCCTGCGTGGGCACTGGAGCATGGAGGCCAAGGCCACCATCAAGGAGCAGCACCCAAAAACCCACCCCCGCCGCCCTGGGGGTCTGCGACAGGGCTGGCCCTGCTTCTGGGTCAAGATCCACGCCTGCAGGATCCGGCTCACAGGCACAGGCCCTGCGCAGCTCTGCACCTAGGCGATAGGAGCGCCGGATGAAATGAGGCCACGGCTTTGAAAGCAGAAGCTGCGCCCGTGAAAGCCCACCGGCCACAACTGCAGCTATGTCAGCTTTTATGCAACACCTTTTACTTGGAAGGACAAATGACATCATTTTGTTTTCCAAAAGCAGATATTTGCATAACACAGTCACATGATTTTGAGAAAGCAGACCCAATTACCTTGACAGAATCCAGTAAACTTCTAGGAAAAAATCGCTTCAGACCAACATCTTTTCTGAAATATAAAAAGCAGCATATTAACAAATAGTAGCACTAAATCAATTACTATAACGACACTGCTGCAAGAACAGGAGATCAGTTTATTTACTCCTCCACAAGTTGTTCTGGAAAGGAGGAAGTATAATAAAGCTCCTATTGGCCAGCACAGTCATGTGACAGAGGAGACAACCACTTTCCAGAAATGTGCACAAAGCATCAACACAAGCTGGTTTAAGCAGTCTTTTGTTTCTGAACCCTTGTTGTTGAAAACCCTTTTAAAATATTGCCTGTTTGCAAATTACAACGTATTAGCAAACTGTTCTTACGCACACACTGCCTGCCGGCTGGCCTTTCCAACACTAGTTTCAGATGAGTCTGATCAGTAAAGGTTCTGGGATATGCCCTAGAGTTCAAAGTTCCCGGATTAAAACTAAAAGTTGACTGCTTTTTCAAATAAACTGTTTTGATAGAGGGATTTATTTATCTAATCAAGTGTATCACATAGAAAAAAGCAATCATTAAGTGAAAGCTGGAAATGTTGGCAATCTAGGCCATCCTCCTCAAATCAAAGTCTCGAAGGGCTCCAGGGTGCTCCGTCCTCTGCACTGCCCAGGGACTGGGCCCCTTGGCCACTAGAGGGCAGATGTGTGGCGGGACAGGGAGAATGGCAGGAGAGTGAAATACAACACTTCTCACAGTTACGTAAGGAGACAAGAAACTGCATGTAAAGCATCAGAACCACAGGACAACAGGCCTGACTTCTTCGAGCCCAGCTGTGCGAGAGCGGCCCTGTAAGCACGCCCAAGGGTTCTCGTCCGAGTGTCTGCGGAGCATCTCCCGTGCAGGCACTTCACAGCCCCGGCCCTGGCCCAGCCAAGCACCAGTCAGGGCTGTGCCAGTGCGCCCCGCCAAACCAAAGCTGGCTTCATTCTCATTCTCTTCTTCTGTTATGTTCGCTGCGGGTTCTACCTACAGCTCACCCGAAGGGTACTGCGTTTCCACTGTCTCCTAACCACAGCTGTCTATAGCACGCTTCTCTTCTCAGACGCGCACTCTGACCCTAATTATGGGATATGAAGAAGGAAAGGCGTCCACCCTGTGATCTCCTTTCTTTCTACCTCCTATAAAGGCAAGAACTTGGCATTTGCAGTATTTTAGTGCTGATCACCACTGGGAAGTAGCAAAATGAGCACATTAAGGAAAGACAAACACTTTAGAGTCTTGAAGGTTTTCATGGTCCCTGGCCGTTTTCTTCCACAGCTTCCTTTTCGGGCAACTATTCCATAAAACAAAGCACTTGATTCCGCATGACAGTTCTGGACTGGAATTCTGGCTCTGCCGGGACACTGGCCATCACCCGACCCTTGTAAACCTCAGGTTTCTACGTGCTGGAGGGAGCATTAATTCCCGCTGCATCGGGGCTGAGGACCAAGCAGCCACACGCTGCGTCCCTAGCACCAATGGGTGGCGTCCTGTCCTCCGCAGCACGGCAGGCACCTCTAGACTGCAGTCCCGGGGCTGGCTGGTGCATGACCAGAGGGAGGTGTGGCCTGGCCGTGCCACAAGCAGAAAGTGCGTCTACTGACTTGCGAGGAGAGGCGGTGCCAGCTGGAAGAGCAGGGGCAGGAGGAGAGCCAGTGGGAGGGGCAGCGGAGGGAGTGAGAGGTGGACAGATGCGACAGACACAGAGTAGCAGTGCTGAGTGCCGGGACATAAGGTGGGGGTGGGGGGAATCAGTCGGGAAAGGGGTGGGGAGGGGTGCAATGGGGGCTACTTAGAGTTCTGGTCAGGCATGTGCACCCTGAGCACACACGCATAACCCCCAAAGTCCACAGATGAGCGTGAAGCCAGGGCCCCACTAGGAGATGGTCAGTTCACTCAGTTATACTTCCATTTTTCGTTGAGAGTCCAGCAGAAAGTCTAACATTTATCATCTTCATTTCTGTCAGAAATGGGAAAATCGGAGCTGGACCAGGAGAGCTCACGTTTCAAGAAAAAGAGCAAATTCCCTTGAGGGAACAGTCAGACTAGGTGCTACTTTAGCTTCCAAGACGATTCCATTAAAAAAGAAGGAAGAGTTGAAGGCCATGGGAGACTTCCCCAGTACTTTAGAGCAGCCATGAATTCGCGACATTTGTCCACACGCGAGAGCTTTTTCAAGCGGGCTTCCCGTCAAGTGAGAGAATAAAGATGGGGCTAAAGCATACGCAACCTCCAGGGATGCCAGTATGACCTCCTCCCAGAAGAAGCCCACCCACTCAGGCTCCCTCCTGGAGGTGGCCGAGGGTGCCAAGGGACACGCAGGGAGGGTAGTTAGAGGTGGCCAACTGAAGCCCTATCTGGGAAACGCACCGGCTGCCCACTGTCCACGGGAGGCTGCCAACCCCCAGCGGTGCCAAGGGGCGTGAGCCTTGCTGAGCACAGACTGCAGCCGGGGGACGTGGACCAGACGACAGGCCTCTTAACAAGGCAATTCTTTACTATGTGAACTCAATCTGACAGAATGTAGCTCCCATGAAGTTGGGGAACCCTGTCAACCCAGGCCCTAAACCCCAGCATGCGTCGACAGCACCCCACGAGTTCCAAGGAGCCTCTTAGACCCAGGCTGCTGACAGCACTGGGGCCGGGCTGTGCTGTGACCAGACACTGGCCACGAGGAGCTACTTCGATTCAAATGAGTTAAAATTAAAAACCCGTCGCACGCGTTGCACTTCGGGTGCTCGGGGAGGTCTGAGGATGGCGGCTCCGGCACTGGGGGACATTCCGCCATCGCAGGAGGCTGCCGGGGCAGTGCAACTGCAGGCTCCCTGCCCTTCTGGGGCACGACTGTGGGCTTGAAGGTCCTCCTAAGGTCAGGGGTGATGGAAGCAGAAGGCCATGGCTGCAGCTGCCAGCCTCCAGGGCAGGCACACCCTCGGGCAGGCCCCGGCTGCATGTGGGCTGGGAGCAGTCTCGGGCAGGTTATGGGGGGCCGCGGGGCACTTCTGGGTACCACACAACCTCTGTCTCCTGACATTAGCACAAAGGGTTTCTACTACCTATTCTCTGAGACTCAAGTTATTACCCTTTTTCTTGGGGAACTACAGCGGACAGCACCGTGGAGGGTGCTGCACCTTCCTCACTAGGACCCAGCAGCACAGCCTGCCGCTGCGCGCACGGACGGCCCAGGGCACCGGCAGGGCTCAGGCCCCAGTTCCTGCGAAGACACCCTCGCCCGCCGAGGACTCCCCCCAGCACAGACTAGTTCTCTTCGTCTTTATCTAAGCCGCTCCGCTATGAGGTGCACTCGCGGGACGGACATGTTCACAAACACGCCCTCACGCGCGCTCGGCGAGTGTCTATCACGTGCTGGGCGGGACCACGAGCCCAACACTACACGGTGGCGGTAAGCTCAGCGCCCCGTGAGGACGCGCTTCCCGCACACCAGAATGCCAGCACCTGTGGCAACCTGGCCAGCTCCACCACTACTGCCGTCACACCGCAGGCGGCCGTGCTGCTCGTAGGGGGGCTCCTGGAACACCTGCTGGTCATTCCCTCTGACTGACCAGACTGTCCTGCAAAACGTGTTTTCAAAATGGACGGGTACTAACCAGTGTCTTCCAAACACCACACGGATCAGAAATCACACTGCCTGGGAAAGTAAGTGATGGCAAAGGCTGCACCACTGCCGATGAAAATAAAGGGGATTTTAACAGGTCTCAGCCGCCTTCCCCCGAGGTACCCACCATCAGAGGGGAAGGGCCAGATCTCAGGGCACAGGCTCCAGCTGGCTCCTATGTACTCAACAGTCTAGTATACGAGTCAGTTTCCTTCCTGGAAGTTTCCAGGTATTCAGAATTCTGCGATACATGAGCAACACAAAACTCCCTCATTTCCACCTTTTATACAGAAAAATAAAATCCTTAGTAAGCTTATACAGAATATAAACAATGACTTCTAGGCAATTCAGAGCTGAATATAAATGAGAAGTGAAACTTCATCCCGATGTGACCAACCCTAGTGTCTGCTAGCACGTGCTGACACGCCCAGCGTCAGCAGCCGGAAGGTATCAACACATCTGGTGTCTGCTGACACAACTGATGTCACCAAGGTCTTGAACACAACTTTCCCTCTTGCAGACACGTCTGAGAAACAGCAGCGCCGGGGTCGCTGTCAGCGGCGGCCGGCACAGCCCACATTACTCACTCTAGCACCTCGTAGTTGGACTTCTTCTCCAGCGCGTTGCCCCGCATCTCCCAGTAGGACCGCCTGCAGCAGGAGAGACACGCGTTACAGGGGCACGTGGAGCTAGGGCGTACATCAAGAGGCATGAGCTGGGTGCCCACCTGCACTGGGTAAGCTGAGGACAGACTGGACGGGGCCTGGACAGGCCCATAGTGACAGGCACTGTCCCTAGCAGGTCTAGTCTTTGTAAAGGAGAAACACAATTCTGGTAGAAAACAGGTTTTTGACACTTGTCCTTCCCCTCCAGAGCCGGGACAGAGGTCTCTGCGGTGGGCACGTGGCGCTCCTCCTGCCCCCGGTGCCAGCTGTGTGGCAGCAAGGAGTATGGCCCGGCTCTCAGGGAGCAATTGCTGCAGCCATTCTGAAGGCGCAAGGTTGGAAGACCTCCTTCTTGTTCCCCAAGACACACTCAGGCAGCGTGAGATCTTTCTAGAAGCGCCCTTGCTGGTAAACCTGCTGTGAGTGGGTGGCCTCCGCGCCCTCCTGCTCGAGGAGCTTTGGGGCTCAGCCGTCACAGAGCACCCCAGCAGCCGCGCTGGAGAACACGTGCCCGAGGACACCGCCCCCTGGCTAGGCAACTGCAGACGCTGGTTTTGTTATCAATGTGTCTGGCCCAATGAAACGCAGAAATGGAAACTACTATATGAAAAATTAAAAAGGGCCCCAAGGAAGGTCATGTGGTTGGTTCCTGTGCTTTCTGGTTGTGTGTAAGGGTTGGGGGAGGGGAGACTAAATTTGCCAACCTTCTCCTTACGCCGTGGCTGCTTATTTAAACTAAATTCTTGGGCATCAGCACGTGTAAGTGCTCAGTGCCCAGCGCTGGCTGGCAGCCTGGTACACATGTACACCGTGTGCCAATCCCCCGGGGGGGACTACTGGGGAGCACGCACCTACAGTTGCTCATATACTTGTGCTCTTAATACAATGAAACTGAAACACCATTTTCAACGATTTTGAGATTTCTAAAATTAGCAATGTAAGAAGCCTAAATAAGTCTTCTCAATTTTTATTAATATTTTATTGATAATCTCTATGAAGAAGAGGAAAATGTCTGGGTAATTTCCCAAAACAAAACAGTGTGAAATAAGGACCATAACATATTGTCATCGTCTTACCGAATTTCTAGACACCCCAACTTCAAAGCGATCTCCTGGTCCACCTGGTCGGCGATCTCCAACATGTAATCGCTCTTCACCTACAATGAACAGGACGGAAAACAACGCTGTCAACATTTTAGACTGAGTCACTCAGTGCTTACTGGTGCCTTGTACATACTTCAGACATGCGCTGGATCCAGTGATGCTGAATGTAAAAAAAGCGACACCAAACACTGTTTAAGGAGTGAAAATGCTTCCAATTAAGGGTGCACACCTTGGTCTACAAGCACTTCTGTTGTTAAGCACCCTCCGTGACAGCACCGTGAGCTGCTTCCTACCCTGCCCGCTCCAGATAGGAACGTGGGTGGTGGTGGGTGTCTGCTTCCAGGCGCATCCACAATGGAGCTACTTTCTGAACTCAAACTACAGTCCTGGGGCAGTTTTGTGAGGGCAAAGAAATTTCACATATTTCAGAATCCACTTAGCTCTGGAGCAGACGCTTCCACCTGGCCATCAATCACCACTCGCCTGCAACGTGGCGACAGGCTGACAGCCTGACACACAGAGAACACTCCCTGCCTGCAAACACCCTCTAAGCACAGCTGTGCCAACCCTAGTAAACGTGGGTAAAGCTTTCAAAGATGAAACGCGTAAAATCCCCTTACAGATCAGCACTGAAGGCGACGCCTGTGATTGTGACAACAGCATTTACTTTGAATCTCGATTAAGCGAAATGTTATCCAACCCCCCAAAAGGAACACCATTCTGCTCATCAGACCTGTATTCTAAGAAACTACCCTCCGTTTTTATATTATAAATTTCACCAATACAAAAAAATGTGTCTTTTCCTTATTATGTAAGCATTTTATAGTACCCTTGATTTACCTCTTGGTCCTGAGCTCTAAATATTTAACCTCCGGTCCTTTAGAGAAAAAGTGTCGATACTTGCCCTAGAAAAAATTCCTAAGCCCCTGCTCCGACTGCCCACTCATGTGCAGAAACACATCCAAGCTGCAGTCGCGACAGCAGGCCGCTCGGGACAGGGCTCCATCACCTTGCCCAGGGCAGGCCTCCAGGCACTCTGCCTCCAGGGGCCCCTCATATTTAAGTTCCTGGCAGAGATCAACCACACTGGCGCCAACACACCCCGCCCCTTCTTCAGCTGAACACCCAGCAGCTGCAGAAACTGAGCACAAGCCTCGCTCCAGCTTCACGACAGCAAACCCCAAACGGTAACATGAAGCCACTGGGCCTCCACAGCACTCGTCTCAGACGCGCCGAGCAAGCTGCTTGGCACGAGCATGCGCCACCCGCCACAGCTCTCCCTCACAGAGAAAATAAAGTACAGATGAAAGTGGCTCCTTGGAGGACCAAGCCATGCTCACCCCTCACCTTCCTCGCGGCAGGACCCATGACCACGGCCTGGCGGTGGACGCCCTCTGCCTCCTGACCTAACTGCCATTTCCTCACAAAGTCTTTGTTTTGTTTTCTGTTAGCACCTAGACCCGCGTGTCAACATGCTTGCTGACTGAAGGAGCTCCAGGTGAGCAGCAGCGTGGACAGCCGCGGCACTGGGGCTGGGTGCGCGCCGACACTATTTCCCTACTGAGGACTCAGAAGCACTGCTGCCCTGTGTTTTACGCACAGTAGGCATGGGGGACTGGGTCAATGGGAATGAATTACGCAATCCATTAAATTAAGAGAAAAGCTTTACTTCTAGGGTATTCTGTTTATACTTTAATGGACTCTTTCTCCCGTACAGCAAAAAAACAAACCCAAATTTTAAAACTAAGTTTTTACATCACAAGCAGGTCTACTACTGAACACAAGAACAAAAGCAGGAGAGCTCAACCAGGACACGCGTCAGACCTGTTCTGCCAGAGACGTGTGGGACCGCGGCTCGGCCGGGCCGGCTCCTCAGCCTGCACAGCAGAGAGCCAGCGGCGTAGTGCGGCCTCCACGCCATCACCAGCTGCCGCCACGATCATTGTCATTTTAAGCACGATTCACATGAGGGAAAACGTCATCACGCGCTTTATTTCGTTCAGAAAAATCAAATTCCTGAATGAAATCTGATTTTGAAAAAAAGGGGAAAATCTAATTCAACAATGTCCGGAAGCCCCCACCTTGGTCTGAGGTGACTGTGCTCCAACTGCTGATCTCCCTTCTGCAAAAATCACGTGGCTCTTGACGCTCAGCCTGACATGGCCAGTAGAAGGCCCAATGTGAGGCACAACAGCCTGCGCACAGCGCCCCATGCAAGCCCTGGCAGCCCCTGCCACAGGGGCCCTCCGCGGAGGCTCTGAGGGGCCTTCACCCCCAGACATGGTGCATGACTGTCCTTTGTCTCCACCTAAGTGGAGAATGTAGCTCTAAGTGCTGGAATGAACGCAGCACCATGTCAGCAGATTGACACGTCACATCCTGTTTAGCCCTCACAGAGCTGCTGTGGGGAAACACTGTCATCCCCAATATTACAGCCTTGGAAAAGCCCAAGACAGATGCCGAGGCATGCAGAGGCACTCCTGATTGGCTGGGAGTAGCAGCAACGCCCAGCCCTGTGCTGCCACACTTCACACCTGCCCAGTATCGCCTTGGGGGGCACAGTGGTACTATTTCATACAGAAAGATCAGAAAACTAGCCGAGTCACACAGCAAGGGTTAAAGTGAGGCTTCAAAGGCCAGGTGTGTCTAGTCCTGGAACTTGGGTGTCACGGTGCTCCTGCCTCTTCTTGGATGCTCTGAGCCATGAGTGGTGAGACGAGTGGAGCCCCTCTGGTCCCCCTGGCACCACTGCAGGCTGCCGTGACAGCTCCACATGCTTCCGGTCGGCTCTCCGACTCATTGCGTGGTACGCTCTCTCAGATGGTGGGGCACTCCTGTTGGTTAACTCCAGGCCCAACAAGTGTCCAAGATTCTTTCAAGAAAAAAAATCTCTGAAAGTTTTTTTAAATTTCTCTCCATGCTAAGGTCAACATACTTGAAAATGGATACATTCCATTTCCTTCTGTTAAGCATATATTTTAACTTAATAACCCTTCACATCTCTAACAAGTGTATTAATCCTAATTATTCCAGAGATATCCCATGTGTCAACTCAATGCTTGGCTAGCACATGAGATTCTGTGTTTTGTTTGGTCTCATCTGACCACTGAGCAATTCCAATTTATCAACTAGACCCAAAAGCCCTAGGTAGTGAGTGTGAAGAAGATGGGGCCAGGCAGACAGGCATGAAGTGATGGAGTCTGGAACCACTTACTCCCTGAGAGCCAGGCCAAATCCAGTCTCCCTGGGCCGGGGACCAAACGCTCCTCCCTGACTGAGTTCTGTCAGGGGGCAAATGGAGTGTCTGCCCACAGAAGCGGGGGTTCCCAGTCCAAACTAATGCCTTAGTCTTCCTCGGGTCTCTTGAGCAGCAGGCCCTGCATGGGGGCGTCTCTCTCCACGTCCTCAATGTCACTAGCCGAGTGAGATGCTGCAAACGAGTCACCGATGTTTTGACCCATCTTAGAATATCGTGAAAGATGTTGAGCCGCACACTCTAAAAATAAACTAGAATCTCGATAGGATCCTATTAGTTATAGCACAGGAATCTATAAAAGTAAGTTTTCACACTAAAACTAATGGCTCATTATAAAGCAAGAAAAGTATGTTTTACCCTGAAAGCAAAATTTCCTTTGCGGTATGACATTTTATTCCTCTCTAACACTCGCTTGTTGAAGGCGTGAGTATCTGATGGGCAGCCTTGTCTGTTAGCTGCCGGGCTGTGTCCACACTGAGTGTGAAGTTGTGACGCTGGTTAGATTTACTGTGATGTCCGAGCACATGGTGAGCTCGTGCCAAGCCATTTGGCAGTGAAATGTCAGCTCCCAAGACACCCAGGTGTGACACGAGATCACTGTTTTCTCCTACAAATATTTTAAGATCCAAGATGAGGATATTCATTGACCCTGAAACACCACGTGTAACGTAAGTGGTTGTATTTTGACAAGAGAGTTCCAGGAGGAAGTTCCAGAGGACACAGGGTCCAGACCCACGATGCCCTGGCAGACTCGGTGTGCACAGGATGACGAGGCCGCAGGCGGTCTACCTCCCCGCCGTCAGCCCTTTCACTGTTTTCACTCCCGTTTTTTAATTTAACAAGTTTTTATTCAGGTAACTGTATTGCCAGAAATTGCTTCTTTAAAACTGTATGTTCTTGACTGTGTAGCTTTCTGTCAGTTAAAACATTTTGAAATGGCAGTTCTGAATATGAAATTTTAGTTCAAAACCTGACATGTGCAATGTGGGAATCCACCTCCTCTTTTCTAGAATAAAAGGTACAACTAAATTTAGATCTAAGTCTGACTTACTAGAAGTATACTGTCTATAATTTTTTAACAGACTTGGTAATAATGGACATTTCTTTTTGTACTCAAGTCTTCTGGGACTAAGCACCGTGGTGACTAAGGACTTGGCCGACTGTCATTTTTGTTCTAGTCAGCCCACATTTTTTGATGATCCTCCACGGAAGACAGAAACACTCATTTTTCTAACAATTCACAGGTGTGGAGGATGCACAACTGGGGCCCCGGCTGGAGTTCGGGTGTCTGCGGCGCTTCCAGCACCTGTGCCTGATCCAGGGGGCTGGCATTCCTCACGGCCACGTCGCACAAGCGTCTCGGGCAGTCCAGGCTTCAGCTGCTGAGTGCCCCCGCCAGCAGGCCTTTCATGAGTTTGGATTGCAGGCTGCCACAACCCCTCAGAAGCACAGGCCTTTAGGGGACCGTGCAGGGCCTGATACGCAGACACACATAAAGTTACCATCTCCCTTCTCGACTCCCCTCTCCTTTCCTAGACCGAGATAATTTCTGCTGGGTTAACTTTTAGTTTTATGCGGCGGTTTCTTTGTAAAACCTTCCATAACATTGGCACACTTCCCATGGAACACACATCTTATAAAAACATTTAAAAATTAATTTGCAGAGGTACAATTTTATGTACAATAAAAATCGATTTTACCACACAGCGATTCGAGTTCTGACAAATGTGCAGTCAATTCCCATCTCCTCATGACACACGGCAAGACACGGGACTCACATGGCACAGCGCTCAGGCGCACGCCTCCTTCTGGTGTCCCTGGTGTCCACATGCACTTGCACCAAGCGTGCACGTGTGTAAAATGCTGTGCAGGCTTAGGATGGACACCCAGAACCACCACCACAATCAGGTGGTGCGCACTCCCCCGCCCCCACCTCTGGCAAACTCTCGTCTGTCCTCTACACATTTTAACTGCTGTGGTCTGTGGATCCCCCCCACAGGCTGAGCGTGGTGGGAACAGCCAGTCCGCTGCCGGCACTGCTGCCTTCTGGCGCTGGAAGACATGGGTGCAAGGCGCTAAATCCATGTGTCTGAACGGTGTATTAGTGAGAACTGAGTTTCAGTGCTGGCACTCTGATATTCGAGCACTTTTCTGAGATTTATAAAAAGATGTCAAGAAGCAAAGGAGCTAGCAACACGTCTTTGGAATCCAAGGAGTTGGGGCTAGTGGGGCGCGTGTGCATTCCACGTCAGAGCTTTTAAAAGCAGCATGGGGCCTCCTCAGTGGCGCAGCGGGTTGAGCGCAGTGCTGTGAAGCTGTCCACAGCCTCTGCAGTGCGGGTTCGATTCCAGCTGGCCAGGGAGATTCCCACATGGCGCGGCAGACCTCTCCTGTCTTGCCCGCTGCTCCCCTCAGCAGTGTACTTCGGGTCCGTCTGCCTATTGTGCTCCCCACTCTGTCTCTGGTGAATCCTCTCACCCTCCCGCGCCTCTGGCCTGTACCCCAGCTCTTATATAAAAATAAATAAATCTTAAAAAAAAAATAAAAGCAATAGGAAGCTTCGGGGCCTTCTAGGATGGCTGTAGTTACTTTCCCATTATAAATGGGCAAAAAGGAAAAAAAAAAAAAAACAGTGGGAAACTTGCCATATATTTTTTCTAGCTTTCATCTCCATTTTCCGTCTGTTCTTAATAGAACATCCAGAGTAATCCTTTTTCAGTCAAAATTTACCTACCATGTCTCTGTCGAATGTACAGTTTTATTCTCTGTACACGTTTTACTCTAGGCTGTATCCTGGCACAGGTGTGTGTTCGTATGTGTCTGTGAACGAAGCATGTGTGAGCGACTGCTAAATGCTAAGCCAAATGACTGAATTATGGAAAAGGATGAATGACTCACGAAGGCAGCATAATCCTTTAACTTATGTTTTAATAGGGTGAGTTCGCTGGGTGTTCCTGCTTAAAATTCCTTCCAAAAGTTAGTAAGTATACTTGAAAGGTTTCCTAATGAAATGTTGGAGGAAAAATAACGGCTTAGATTTTCTAGTTAAAAAAACCGTGGATCGGAGCCCTGAGCTGACTGGGCCCAGACTCCAGGCGGGCCCTCCCTCCCGCACGTCCTCTGTGAACGCCAGAACGAGACTGGAAAGTGACGAATGAACCGTGGCCGCGTGGGCCCTGCCTGGCTCCCTGCACTGTCACGGGCAGGAGGCTGACAGGACGGTCCAGCAGCCCGACCCCACCCCCTGCCCTGTCCTGCAGCCGCAGGCCCTCTCCCAGCCCTCACGGGGTCGCTCCCCACTGGATGCCCACATATACTCGTAACAAAGGTCAGTGACTTGGGACCCCCGGGGAAGGCCACAGAGACACCCCTCATCAAGGACTGGACTGACCTTCTTTAAGTGACTGAGGTCGCAAGAGGGGGCAGGAAGAAAGTGGGGGAGATACAAACAAAGGCAAGCTGGGATTGGGGACCTGGGAGGAAGGAAGACAGTGGCTGCAGGCCCAGAGGCTCCTGCGCAGACACCAGGAGGGCAAGGAGAGCCCCGCGGTGAGCCCCGTGCCACGGTGTGCGGGGAGAGATCGGGAAGGACACCAGGGGTCTTCCTGCTGACAGACACACGCCCTCACCGGCCAGGCTGGCCGAGGAGCCAGGAGGGACCGCTGCAGGCAGCCAGGGCCTGTGCTGTGCACTCTGGAAGGCAATGTCACAGCTATATGTGCCCTTTGAACGTGGATTTTTTTCAAACAAACTATGCAAAACGTTACAGGTTGACAAGAGAGAAAAATACATAGTAGACATGTCAGTTAGCCAGACTCTCCTGTCGCCTGCTTCACCACACATGGAGCTCCCCGCCTGCTAAAGACGAGCAGCGGGTTGTCCACCGGGCCCGCTCTGCAGCCTGGGAGGGCCGCCAGTGACCTCAGCTGGAGGTCAGGCATGGCTTCTCTTCCCACCCTGCCTGGCGGACACAGCATTATCGAAACAGCGCATCATGGAAAAGCGTCTCAGCGCTGACGTGTCCCTTCCCCGAGTCCCTGTGACTTCCTCCCCACGTGAGGAGACGGCCCCACCCTGGACACTTCTCCATGTGCTCCTCACGCCATGTGGCTTCCTGGGCAGGACTCCCAGCTCCCTCTCACAGGGAAATAACAACCCACCACCTCACCCCTGTTCCTTGTCCCAACACTGGCCCCAGGGCCTGGACTCACACAGCCGGTGCCTCACCTGTTTCTCCCCAGGCCACTGCATTGCGACCTGAGTCCTCCCAGACCCACTTTCTGACCATAGCATCACTCCTCCTCTCTCCTTTCTCGCCTACATGGCTGAAGCATCCCTGGGGTGCTCATTTAAAAGCCCGTCCACCCCAGCACTGTCTTATCAGATGAAATAGCCATTGCTATTTTAGATTCTGATCAAGGTCTTTACCAATGAAGCTCTTTAAAAGTCTCCAAATAATCTGCAGGCGAAGCCCCGAATCTCCCCTCACATGGTGCAGCCCATGTCTCTCCAGTCTCCTCTCAGGCCGTTGCGGCTTAGATCGAAATGCACCATGTTCTCTCTCCACCATGTTCTCGCCAAAAAGTGCATCTCTTCCTCACCTACAAAGCTGGAGACGCCTTGGTCGCGTGTCCACAGACGCTCACCCCTGGACCCGCCACCAGACACTCAAGTTGGAGTGCAGACTGGGCCACTGGGTTCTGTCTCCTGACCCACAGCAGTCAGGGAAGGAGCACCTTATTGAACAGACTTACCAAGCACATTCAGCAGCAAACTGCACGTGCACCAGATGCTCTGGCATGCTCACTGGCCCTGGCGCGGAACGCACAAGTGCTCATGAACCTGAGCTGGGTCATTTCCACCAAGAACTTCCTGCCCAACCAAGACCTTAAACTTCCAGGGTGGAGAAAGTCAATTCTGGCTTTATTATGCAAACTGCTGTTAAGATTTTTTTTGGGTGTAGTTGGCCCTGACAACAAATTCTATATGTAACAAATCTGCTGACAGTCAGCATAATTACATTAGAATTAAAGACAGAACAATGACCTTGCAGGACAAGCCACCCCGATGGAAAGGCAGCACCTGTTACAATCTGTCCAAGCACACACGAATTCACAAAGCATCAAAATTCAAAATTTCTCACTGATTAATAGGTTCTTACTGCTATACATGGCCAATTTATATCCTACCAAATGTTAGGTCTGATTCAATTTTTTTTTTTTTTAAAGATTTATTTACTTATTTATACAAGCACTGGGTACAGTTAGAAGCACGGGGAGGGTGAGAGAATTCACCAGAGCCAGAGGGGAGAGCAGAGCAGGCAGACTGACAAAGTACACTGCTGAGGGGAGCAGCGGGTGGCAGGAGAGGTCTGCACGCCATGTGGGATACTCGCCCAGCGGCTGGGGATTGAACCAGCGCTGCAGAGGCTGCGGGCAGCCTCACAACCCAGCGCTCAACTGCTGCGCCACTGGGGAGGCCCAGGTCTGATTCAATTTTAAAACAAAAAGCATGTAATACTGTTCAAACAAAATACATAAGCACCCTTTCATACCTGCTGGTAGAAGAAATTCAGAGTTGGCTTGTCCTCAGTGAACTGGTTTAGAAATCCTTTTGGCAAATAACGAATTCTTAATTCATACCTAAAAAATAAACCACAAAATAAAACAATTAAATAAGTGCTCTTCTCAATTCAGTCTACAATTACTTTATCTTGAGTCTGGCATTGCCAATTACTCTGAAATATGACTTAAAAATTATTAAAACATGATCAATTCATCTTTAAATGTGAAGGTTTTGCTCAGCTGCAGGAGCGCTCCAGCACCCGCAAGAAGCCGGAACCTGCCCGTCCTGGCCTGGGCCGCACCACCCCTAGGGCCTGCGCACCCCTGACGTTGGCCCCTGCTCTGGCCATGCTCTTCTGCTCGGCCATGCTCCTGAAAGAGTCACTGGGACCTCGGCGCGGCCGTGCGCGCCAGTGCAGGAGGCCGCACCCAGCCCACATCCGAGCAGACTGCAGGAACGATCCTCCCCAGGGGTTGTGTCTGCTCGGAGCTGCGCTGGGCACGTCACCGGCATGCCTGCTGTGTGTGGGTGTGAGGCGCATGTGCCTCTGGGGTGCCCGCGCACCCCTCTGTTGGGTGTCTGGGTGGAGACACAGGGCCCCGCGCCCGCTGTCTGGCCTAATGCGCACTGCAGTGGCGCCTACAGCCTCAGTCAAAGGTCCTCAGCTGATGAAACCGAGCTTCCCCACAGCTAACTGGCCACTTTTGGAATCTCCCGTTAAGGGTCCATCCACTTTCCCACAGGTTGTCTGCCCACCCTTCCCCGCAGGTGCTCTTCGCACTCCGCGGATATCCTCTCACAACACGGCCAAGCTTTTAAAAGTTTAACTCCTAATCGTAATAGTATCTGTAAGGGGCAGGAAGAGCCACAGGACAGGATCTCTGACTGAGTAGACAGGTAAAGGAGGAGTCCTGGAGCCCTCGGTGGCTTTTGCAGGCTTGTATTGGGATTCACCAGGTACACGGCAGGCAGGGGTGCTGGGGGGCTGGGGGGCTGGCAGGCCTCCCAGCCCCCAGCAAGTCTTCACTCTTTCTGGGCTCTCTGGCCTTCTCTCTGCTTCTCTCGTGGTTCTGCTTCTCTTCTGGTGGTTCTGCCTCTCTGCTGGAGTCTCTGTAACTCTGCCCTTATAAGCCCAGGCTCAGCCCTGGTGAATCCTATCTACATTTCCCACACCCTACTCCAGGTGCCGCCATCAGGCATCCCTCAGGACCACAGGGATCCGTCCTCCATTCTAATGGCGGGAGGGCAGAAAAGTCTGATACTTTTTACCTTACCCTACAGTATCTTTAAATTTTTTTTTAATCTTTTTATTTTAATGGCATCATGTAAGGAAGAAAATTCATAGTTTTTATGTTGTACTCCAATTTTTCCCCTTTTTAGTGAGTTACTTTATTTTTTTTTTAAGATTTATTTATGAATATAAGAGCTGGGGTACAGGCCAGAAGTGTAGGGGGTGAGAGGATCCACCAGAGACAAAGTGGGGAACAGAACAGGCAGAATGACCAAAATCCATTGCTGAGGGGAGCAGCGGGGAGACAGGAGAGGTCTGCTGCGCCATATGGGTATCTCCCTGGCCAGCTGGGGATTGAACTCATGCTGCAGAGGCTGCGGATTGCTTCACGGGTTGCATCTTTTTTTTTTTTTAAAAAGATTTATTTATTTATTTATATAAGATCCGGGGTACAGACAGATGCACGGGAGTGTGAGAGGATTCACCAGAGACAGAGCAGAGAATAAAACAGGCAGACTGACGAAATACACTGCTGAGGGGAGCAGAGGGCGAGACAGGAGAGGTCTGCGCGCCATGTGGGACCCTCCCTGGCCGGCCAGGAATTGAACCGGCGCTGCAGAGGCTGTGGACAGCTTCACAGCGCGGCGCTCAACCGCCTGCGCCACCAGGGGAGGCCCCATAGGTTGCATCTTAACCCTTATGCCACCAGGGAGGCCCTTTAGTGAGTTACTTTAGTGTTTCATTTATAAGCTATTTGCCCTACCCAAAAGGTATAAAGATGCTTATTTTTTCTAAACAAGGAAAAATGCAAACAAAGTAATCAATACAGTGTTGGTTCAGTTAAGGGTGCAAAACCATACCCAGGTTCTGCTGAGGTTGTTAAATGTCATCTCACTACACACACATGTGCCAAAGAGCTAGTCCCACTCACACCTGCTCTCAGGGCAGTAACTCCTTGTAGACAACCTATGCCGGGTGCTTTCACAGAAAAACACAGCAGACTGCATTTACTCTGAATCGAGGACTGAGCAAGCACTTTACATACGGTCTTGCTCTTTGTCAGCATAAAAAATCAGAGGAGAGAGTGCAACTACCACACTGAGTAGACAGGAACATGAGGTTCAACAAGAATAAGCAGCCCGGTCCAAGGCTGATCCAGCCAGATGCCAGAGGCTTTCGGTATCAAAGCTGTCCCATCCCAGGGACAAGGAACCAAGTCTGTAGGGGAAGTGAACTGGGCAGGCTTTTACGTCGCTGACCTCTGCGGCGGCCACCTGTGGCCTTGAATGCAGGAGGCGCTTGGGAATGTGGGTGCGGGGCATACAGGTCTGATGGTGACACCTGGGGTGTGGTGTGGGCCTGGGTGAGTGGGCGCACCTGAGCCTGGAGGCGGAGGCTATAAGGGCAGTGCCACGACAGAGCGGCTAGGAGGGGACAGCAACAGCTACAAGAGACCACGAGAGAGAATGGCAGAGAGAGCCAGAGAGGAGTAAAGACCCACTGCCAGACTCCCGGCCCCCCAGCCTCCCTGCCTCACCAGCCTGCAGGCTTGCCCCACAACAATTGGTGTAGAAAGCCATTAAAGTCTGAATAAGCCACTGAGGGATCCAGGACTCTCCTTTATCTGTGTGCCCGAATGAACACATGTAGGGTAAGAAAATATCAGGCTTTTCTGCCCTTCCGCCATCAGGATAGATGATGGATCCTTGCCTGAATGCATGCCTGATGGCGGGCACCTGGAATAGGGTGTGGGCATAGGTAGATGGGATTCAGCTGAGCTAAGACTGTGCTTTTAAGGGCGGCGTCACGGGGGGATGCCAGTAGCAGCAGCAGCAGCACCAGTAGCAGCAGCAGCACCAGTAGCAGCAGCAGCAGCAGCAGAACCTGAAGGAGAAGCCGAAGCAGAAGCAGAGAACGCCAGAGAGCCCAGATAGAGTGAAGACTTGCTGGGGGCTGGGAGGTCTGCCAGCCTCCCAGCCCCCCAGCCAGCACCCCTGCCTGCCATATACCCGCTGAACCCCAATAAAAGACCTGCAAAACTACTGAGGACTCTGACTCCTCCCTTTACCCGGTCTGCATGGGATCAGAAAACCTGCCCCGTGTCCAGGTCCTGCCCTTACAATTGGCGTAGTCGGCAGGATCCATGCAGACGGGTATTGGAGCCCTCCGAAGACCTGGAGGGACTAAGGAGAACAGACTGTTTGCTTGTGATGACGCTGGAGGCGCCATGGCGGCACAGAAGTTGGATACGGTCCGGAGCTGTGGGATGAGACCTCACATGGAGGAGATGCCCGAGAGGACCAGCCAACGACACCAGAAAGGACCAGCCACCAACACCGGAAAGGACCAGCCAATGACCCCTGAGGCAGCAGGCCGTTGCTGATGCAGGGAGAGGCCAATGGACTTGAACTGATGGACTGATGGACTAGGACTGACAATCCCGCCAGAAGGCGGAGGACCTTGCAGGTTGATATGTTTTGGGACCCTGGGGTGGAACAGTTTTGTTTGTAAACCCCAGGAGATGGGAATCTGGGGGTGGCCAGTGGGCCTAGATGGCCAAAAGCAGCCTGTGCATGCCCAGCAGCCAGGTGGAGGAGAAAAGCCAACTAAGAAGGCAAAAGCTGGTACTGATGCTAAGTTGAGAAGCCCTAAGTGGCTGTTAAGCAGCCTGGGTATGCTGAACCCCTGTGAGTCTCGTAAAATCACCTGTGGGGGATGCCCTGCTCATTCTTGAGTGAGGGTGAGGAGCTGAGGAACCTGTCCTTGGGGGACGGGTGGGGAACGTGGCTTGGGGTGGAGCCCAAGCCGAATGCAGAGTTTGGATCCCCGACCCATGTGATTGTGCAGTGGGTTGGCTTGAGTGCAGGGGCCTGCAAGTCGCATTTGTGGCCATGAAGGCCGAGTGTTGGAGCGACTGCAGACAGAAACCCTGAGGATTGGCGATTACCCCCAACAGAATAAAATTGCCAATCCCAGAGCTAGTGCATCCTGGGGGTGGATGCTGTGTGTGGCTTGTAGCTGAGACTACAGCCAGAGAAGGCCAGGAAGCCTGACGGCTCCTGGTGTGATATAGTAGATGCCGTGAGTGATTCCCCTCCCTCGTAGGAGCAGTGCCTTCGGCAGCAGATTTGGTGGCTCATCTGCTGGTACCAATAATTGTCTTTTGCACTAGGTTGGTGCCCTGCCTGGACTTATTTGTGTTCTGTTGTATTTTGTTGTGATGTATTTGCTTTTGTGGGCCATGGCTGCACTGTTTATGTTTGCTTAAAAAATTGTATATACGTGGACTATATGGCAGAAAACCCTGAGGGGGTGGACTGTAGGGTAAAGAAAATATCAGGCTTTTCTGCCCTTCCGCCATCAGAATAGATGATGGATCCTTGCCTGAATGCATGCCTGATGGCGGGCACCTGGAATAGGGTGTGGGCATAGGTAGATGGGATTCAGCTGAGCTAAGACTGTGCTTTTTAAGGGCGGCGTCACGGGGGGACGCCAGTAGCAGCAGCAGCAGCAGCACCAGTAGCAGCAGCAGCAGCAGCAGAATCTGAAGGAGAAGCCGAAGCAGAAGCAGAGAACGCCAGAGAGCCCAGATAGAGTGAAGACTTGCTGGGGGTTGGGAGGTCTGCCAGCCTCCCAGCCCCCCAGCCAGCACCCCTGCCTGCCATATACCCGCTGAACCCCAATAAAAGACCTGCAAAACTACTGAGGACTCTGACTCCTCCTTTACCCGGTCTGCATGGGATCAGAAAACCTGTACTGTGTCCTGTCCTGCCCTTACAACACAGCACCTGCCCCATGCCGGCTGCCACTACAAAATCCAACACCACACATGGGGCAGCCTGGCCC